ACGGGTAAGTTGGGAGAGACCAAACCTGCTGAATGTTTATGAGAGTCCCACAACTTGAGAGAATGAGCAATAACCGGGTCAAGGGGAGCAGGTCGGTGTTTGGGAGCAAGCCAGAGAACATTGTCTGTGCGGATTGGGTGTGATAGCGTAGCCTCAAGCTCGACCCAGCGGGGAGATTCAGAGCATGCGTGGTACTTAGCTAATTGGCTAATGTGGGCTGCATAATAGTATTTAGAAAAGAGTGGAACACCCAAACTGCCCAACAACCGAGGTAGATACAAAGTATTTTGAGGGATCCGTGGCTTATGGTTAGACCATATGAACTTGTTAACCTGAGATTGTACGTTTTTAAGAGCAAGAGGGGGAACCCTAACGGGAAGGGTACAAAAAATATATAAGATTTTAGTCAAGAATGTAATTTTTATGGCAGCTATCCTACCTAACCAGGATAGATTATAGTGGGACTAACAAGAAAGCAATAGCCTAAGTTTGGCGAACATAGGAGGGTCATTGGTGTCGTAGAGGCTATGGTAGGAAGCTGTCAAAAGTATCCCCAAGTAGGGGAGGGATGAGGATCTCCACGGAAAATTGAATTTTCAGAAGAGAAAGGGTTGCTGAGGGAAGAGAAATGTTAAGAGCTTGAGACTTAGAGTGATTAATGGAGGGGCCAGATAATGTCGGGAAGTCAGACAGAATATGCATAAGGTTGGGAAGAGACACTAAAGGATTGGATAGAAAAAGTAGAGCATCATCTGCGAAAAGACATATTTTGTGAGAAGTACCCGCGTGAGAGAGACCTGTCATGTCAGTACTATTCAGAATTAATTGGGCTAAAGGCTCGATGGCCAGGGTGAAAAGGAGGGTGGAGAGGGGGCAGCCTTGCCTGGTACCTCGCTGAACTGATAATGAGGAGGATCGAAAGCCAGAATAACAAATGAAAGCCGAAGGGGAAGTGTAAAGGGATGAAATCCAATCAAGGAAGCAACTACCAAAAGCTCTGTTGCGTAAGACATAAAAAAGGTAAGTCCAGGACAATGTAATCAATATGATCTGCGCCAGTCAAATCTAAGTACAAGCTACAAAGCACTACTGACCGTGGTGATCAAAAATTAATAACAATAATAAACGCAATTTTTTTTTATAAATAAACCCATTGAAATAATACACTTAGGATTCTCCTTTTCTTTTTCTTCCTTTGTTTCCCATTCATTACAATATTTGTTCCCGCCCGTGTCCAACTACACTGGGCGGGTTGGCTCAGCCGCTATAGCGGTGAAGGACGGGTTAATCGGAGGAGAAGCCTTTAAAAAGTTGTTGCAGCAACTCCGTGACGGAGTGAAGAAAAAATGAGCCTTTAACTTTATATTTATATATACTTTTCTGCTGACTGCTTTTTCCGAAACTTTTTTATTTTTGATAAAGACAGAGAAGCAGATCGGAGATAAGACTTTAATCTGTTTGTTCTTCAGTTCTCTGGTATATGAAGTGAAGAATTGAATGCCTATAAAGTTTATTATTATATATGAAAAAAACTGCTCAGATAGGAAGTATTTACTGTGATAATCTGAGTGGCTCCGTTCCACTATTATCGATCCGGTATTGGTTATTTACCAGCTCACTGACTGGATACATTTGCATGCTTTGTCCAATTGGTGTGTTGGTTTGGGTGGCTCCGCCCCACTGTTGCGGATCTTGTGTATGTGATTACACCAGTCTAACTTGTTGGGCAAGTTGAGGTTGGCTGCAACTAACGATCTAATTGCCTACTGTGTGCTACATTGAACACTTGCACTTATTGGGAGTTTATATTATATTTTTGCTTATATTTGAGCTTATATTTTTGTTTATATATTATATTTTTGCTCATATTTTTGCACATTCCCACTCTCCCTTATGGCCGAATACAACTAGCTTTCACTATTTCGTTTAGACGGAACCTCGGAGTTGTAGATTTTAAGAGATACACACAAGAACCAATCACTCACTAGAATTTTTATTAAAAGGCCATCACTTTTTTATTATTTCACAGACATCACTCACCTTATCCTTCACTTTATATTCACTTCACATATTTGCAGAATAATTTTTCACATTGGATTAATCACCACGGAACCATACTGTGACTATTTTCACTACTCACAGTAAAACCAAATAGATTCACTTACCAAGCGCAACATACCCACTTCTCTTTAAATAATAATATCATGTGCCGAACTAATAAATAAATAAATGTAAACATCAAAACATAAACATCAGTGCACAAAAGTCCCATAAAAGTAAACATTCAAAAGTGATCATAGAGGTTATGATCCATAAAAAATAATGGAAATAGTGAAAGTGATAGTAGTGGTAATAGCGATCTTCTATCCAAACTCTTGCATACCACACCCCAAACAGATATCCAATCCACAGGTGATAAAGAGTGGTGTGCAGGTGGGTGCTCACCTGAGCTGATGACCAATAAAGGTCATAAAACAATGTTCAATTCTTGGCTGGGAGGGACACCCTCTAGGCATCTACACCAGACCAGTTCATAATGATATCCATCCAGAAAAAGATAAGCAATAAACACATAGTGCGTATCGTCCAGATAAATAATAAAACTTTAATCTTTAAAAACCTTACTCACATGGAATAAGTTAAAACAGAACAGCGGAGAGAAATACAATCAATAGTCCAGCTCAATACTCCACGAACGAGGACGCTCTCCCATCCTTCCGGCCGGATCGAAATAGTGACGTCAGTAACTCCACCCACCCTACGTGCGTTGCATCCAATGTGACTTCATCAGGGGTGTGACACGTCTATAGAACGTGAGATGTAGTCTTGGAGTACTGAAGCTATATAGGTACGGTTAGAGGGATCAGCAAGAAGCGATTCATTTAGCGTCCACATAGGAGCGGTACCTTTAGGAACAAGCTCAGAAAGGAGCATAAGCACAGCCGAGTGGTCCGACCATGGGATGGGACGGATGCGAGAGTGAACAATCAGAGAGATCAAGGAGGGAGGGCCTAAAATATGGCCAATCCTGGAGAAAACTTGGTGTGGATGAGAGAAATGAGTAAAGGCTGATTAGGTGAGGTTAACCTCTCGCCAGCAGTCCACAAGGGAGTAGCGAGTCAAGAGGTCCTCAAATTGAGATGAGGAGTGCAGGTGTAAGGGAGAGTCCTTAGATCGATCTCTATGGGTGAAAATTGTTAAGTTAGAATCACCACATAAAATAAGAGTCCCAACACGATGAGATTCAATCATGGAAAATAGATGGGTAAAAAAAAGAAACCCGATTAGTGTTAGGTGGATAATAGGAGACTAAAGTAACCTCAGTATCATGGAGTAGGCCAGTGAGAAGGAGATATCTACCCAAGGGATCTTGGAGTTGGGAATGACAAACAAAATTCAGGGATCTTCTAAAGCAATTCAACACTCCTCTACATTTACGGTCAGCATTGGCCATATTGACAGTAGGGAATTGTGCAAAAAAATATTTAGGGAAAGAGGTATGAGAAAAATGGGTTTTCTGGAGACACACCAAGTCAGCATGTACAGATCTAAAATATCTAAAGGCACGGGTACGTTTGCTTGGAGAATTAAGACCTTGTACGTTAAGACTAAGAATGTTAAGGTCATGACCAAAAGAAAAGGAGAAAGGCATTACTAGAAGAAAAGTTGTCTGAGGTAAAAGGAAAGACTGCCAACTCTCAATCCCCGGACAAAAAGAAAAGGGGAAGAAAAAGGATTCTGTGTTTTTTTTTTTATTTCCAAGTGCTGCAGCAAGATTTAAGATACCTAGCAGCACGTTGGAGAGCCAGACTGCTGTCCTCACACACAACGCAGCAACCTGAGCAGTACTCCAGTCAAAAGCATTGCTCATGATTGTCCTCTTCATTGTCCTCTATATTCATCGTTACGTTACATCTCTGTTTCATGATAGCTATACTAGATGGTCATCAGACATTTTGCATGAAGCTCAAATCCATCTTCAACTTCCCTACTCCCTCTTTTTCTTCTCTTGACTTCCAGCAATGGCAGTGACTTAGATAAATCATGCATTTATTATAAGGTAATATTCATAAATAAAGCCTTATGAAATGTAAAGTAACATTACCAGAGATGGTATTCAGCAATAACCACAGAATCAGAGAATTTAGTGTGTCTGGTGACTTAGTCATCGGAGCAGTAACATTTAAAACGGATCTGTGGCTATAATAGAAATACTGTAAACATTGTACATAGCAGGCAAATGATAGTATAACCCGCCAGCCTGTACTTTTGTCTTCAATATCAATTTGTCTTCAATATCAAAAAATTTTAGTCTTCAAATACTTACAAGAACCAGTCAACGGCAATGATCAGTGTGATGTCCTCTGTGGGCAGTCCTACTGATGTCAGTACAATGACCATGGTCACCAGGCCAGCTTGTGGGATTCCTGCAGCTCCAATACTGGCTGCTGTAGCAGTGATGCTGCAATTGCAGAAGAAAACAAATTTAAGTGTACCCGTATTAAAAGACCAAGTATCACTAATATGTTTAGTATGCAACATATATCCTAAATTGTTTTCAATGCTATATTACGGGTATGTAAATGTATTTAAACTGTTTTCTTGCTTTCACTTAATAATCGCATTAGATATTACACTGGTATTGTAGGATATTTCTGGATCATACCATGACAAATGGGTGCATTTTCCTCCTATCATCATGGTCAATTCAAAAGTGTTCCTTCTCAGTGTGTTCATGCATATTACTTAGTTTTACAAAGGACCACGGTTAGCTGGACTGCAGGCTGCTGCTCCACAGAAGCCACGAGCCTGTTTCCATGACTTAAACCAATGATACTAGATGCACAGTGGCCAGATGGTCATAAGGGAGTGTTTCTTGGATTTATAGTGGTACTGATGATATGTGATATGGTCTTTCTGAGGAAAACAATGCGTATTTCATATTACCTGATTGTGATAATCTGTCCAAAGTTAAGGTCATAATTGTTCACCTGAGCAATGAAAATTGCTGCCAGGGCTTCATAGAGTGCTGTGCCATCCATATTGATTGTTGCTCCCACTGGCAGTACAAAACGTGTCACCCTCTTGTCTACCTTGTTGTTCTCCTCCAGACACCTGAATGTGACTGGTAACGTGGCAGAGCTGGAAATATAATACATTATGAATAAAATGTGCTAGATGTCCACTTATGATCCAGCAAATGTATACTGATGACAGAACCCTCACCTTGATGAAGTGCCCAGAGCTGTAATTAGGGCTTGTATCAGTCCTCCAATGAACACCCAGGGGTTTTTGCGAGTCACCAAGAAGTATAGCAATGGCAGAACAATAATAGCATGAATAAGCAGACCTATGATGACCGTGATTGTATACATGCCAAGCTGTCCTCCAACCACCCCCATATCTTCCATCTCTGCAATCTTCCCAGCAATTAGGAAAAGAATACCAATAGGAGCATACCTAAGGATGAAACATGCTGTTATTAGCAAAGAGAAAAAGGTTTTTCTGGAATACTGTAAAATAATAAGATATAAGACAGCAGCTGACATAATTGTAAGAACCTGCCCTTTACCTGTGCAGCAACAGATTTGCTTTACAGGATGGACCATATGCAGTTGGTATTTATCCTCCTCTCTCTTCCTAACTACCAGACCTTTCGGAAATTCCTGTTTACATTTACACACAGAGCTGTAGATGCCGCCCCATGTGCTTAGACCAGGCAATTGATGTGATCAGTAGACATGTGCAGCCGCTAAAAATTTGTTTCGTTTAGTTTCGGATTTCGTTTAGTTAGTTTTTGGAATTCGGATCCTATATGTGTTTCGTTTCGGGAATCGGATTCGGATGTGATTCGGAATTCGTGTCGGATTCGGAATTTGGACTCAGTTTCGGAATTCGGAAAAATTCTCGAAAATTCAACTTGAGGTGGGGTAGCAGAATTGGCACATTTGTCATTTCTGGTTGCTGTGCTCTAGTCTTTACTATTGAAGGACCATTAAAATCCTTCTCTTAATTAGTTTTTATCCGTTTAAATGTTAACAGTGCACGCACAGGATTTGGATGAAATTAGTTCCAAATCCGAAATTTCGTATTTGAAATTTCGGATTCGGATGATTTCGGATATGTTATATTTCGGAAATTCAGATGCTCCAAATCTACGAATTTCCGAAATTTCGTCCGAATTTCGATTCGGAACGAAACGAATCGCACATGTCTAGTGATCGGACACAAAGCCCTGACTTGTGATGAGGCAGAGGTAGGGTTCCCTCATACTTGAATTTACCAGATATTTCTTAGGTGGTCTGGAAGTGGATCAGAATGGTAGGGGAGCATAGAGAAGATAAGTAAAGGATGCTTAAAGTACACCTGTTACTTTGTCTAGTACAATCAAAGTACATTTTTCTTTACAGTAAGAAGCTGAATAAGGAGCACTAAGTTAAAGTTTAGAATAAGATAAAATGGAGCCTGGGATACGGGGGGGGTATATTTGGTGTGTAAAGGAGAGGGTGCTTCTTCTGCCGGATGTAGAATCAATTATAGTAAGATGCCGACAGCCTGCAGAAGGAATGTAAATAAGTTGATAGCAATGAAAGGGTAAGCATGATGCTTATCGCATTCCATGATACACTATATGGTCAGTTAGTGGACACCTGACCATCACATGAGCTTGTTGGTTAGGTTATCCCATTCTAAAACTGTGGCTATAACATTCACCACTCTTCTGTGAAGGCTTTTCACAAGATTTTGAAGAGTGTCTGTGGAAATTTGTGTCAAAAGAACATTTGTGTGGTGAGGTACTGATGTTGAGCAAGAAGACCTGGGTTGCAGTTGACTTTCAAATCATCCCAAAGGTGCTAGATATCGTTGTGGTCAGGGCTCTGTCAAGACTACTTGAGCTCTTCCACACCAAAGTCATGAAACCATGTCTTTATGGAGTTGGCTTTGTGCACAGTCATGCTGGAACAGAAAAATGCCTTCACCAACTGTTACCATAAGGTTAGAAGTGCGCAAATGTCTAAAATGTTTTTGTATGCTGTAGCATTAACATCGCCCTTCACTGAAAACACCTGTGATCAAACATTTGAAAAGATGTCCATATAATTTGGGACATATATGTAGGTGTGATAGTCAGGTGTTCACAAACTTTTGGCCATAAAGTGTATACCGTAAAGAACACTCTCTTCTTAAAAAGGAAAGCTGTGAATAATGTCACAACAATGCTTTTCTCCACCCTTCAGCAGTGTTGTCCTAGATGATAGTTGTTGCCTTAGGGATATTTAGGAAAGACGATGTTGGTGTAGCAAACACTGACACTTACCACATTATTACAGCCACTAATCTCATAATAGCCTCATTGAGGCAGTCAAAGAAATCTTTCAGGGGCTTTCCTTGTTCTTTCATACTTCCAATCACCAGTCCGAAACACATGGAGAAGACCACAAGTCCCAGCGCATTCACCCCATTCACTGCCCCAGGCACAGGGACCATCTCCTCCCGGAATTTGGCCAGAGACTCCATGGCATCTGACACATTGTTAAAAACTGCAGACAGTAATGTTTCATTCTCTGTAAGGGGAATCTTAAAGAGCTTCTTTTCATAGTTTGTCTTGAACTAAATACAACAAAAATTACAAGTGGTCAGTGTTTTTATTCTTTGTTTCCTTTTATGACATTAAACATACTGATATAATTGTTAAAGGAGAAGTAAAGACAAGCAGCTAAATAAAGGAACAAATACATATTCATGAATTGTTTTACCTAGAATTTGTAATTCTGTTCAGCCATCTAGGAGATTTATTCATTTATTCACTCTTGCCAGACAGCATAGCAAGGTTTCTTACCATTTGTGTAACTATAGCCATAGCAGCCCATGTAGCTGCTAATAGGCCTTGAGGTGCAACAGGAGTATGGCTGAGGTATGCAGCGTATATGAAAAAGAAATACCCCACCTGCTTTAGGGCCAGTTCACATCATATGCAACTGTGATGCAGTCCGTTTATTTGACTGCTGCAGTCAAAATACCGGACTGCACCACAACTGCATATGGTGTGGAATGGCCCTTAGTTATTGTCCATCCACCTACTCTTTTAAAGGATCCCTTCACTAACTAGCTTTGACAAGTAAGGGCTAGTTTCTGTCCAGATCTGTTCAGCTTAGATACATTATGTCATTAACATCAGTTTTTGTGAGAGACTAGAAACCAAAGTTAATAGGTACTATAAGGGGTAGTATATAGGCCACCAGTTATAAAGGGGGCAATGACTAGGTGTGCAATATAGTTTGGCTGGTTTGAAGATGTTCGCTAATGGGCTAGAAGGCTGGTGGAGGGCACATTCAATTTTTGTTGTTGGGACCTGTGATTAGTCCTTAGCTTTTGTCTCTGACTTGAATTTTCTCTACTGCTGTTAAAGCAATAAAGTTTGATCACAGACCAGCCCCAGCTTGTGATTGGATAGTGGAGGAATCGTTGCACGCTGTTGAGTTCATCATTGTGCTCTCTCCTCCTGCACACCAAGTCTCTGTGTCAGATTGACAGGACTGTACACTGCAGCAGTGTCTGATTGGTAAAAAATGTAGATGATTACAGGAGATTTATATAAATTGAGGTTTTATAAATGCTCATTTAAGCAACAGATTGTGGAAAAATGCAGCAAATGAATGCTAAAACAAATCAAAGTACAGGAAATCATAGTAAAAATTTGGTTAAAGAAGGACACTAAGGCTGGCCATACACTGATCTTTTTTTTTCTTTCAACCCACGGGCTGAACGAAAAAAATAGACCCGATTCCTCCATCAACACTAACAGTATGTCGATCGAGGAATCCCCGCTGTTTACATACTGCGGCTGCCGGCTACTGTCAGAATACCCGACCAGAGCGGGCAGCTCAATGGCTGCCGGCACTGATCGTTCGAAAATTTTCCAGCAGGCTCCTTCAATCAGCTCCTCAAAAACCGGCTGAAATTTGCAGTGTACGGGCACCTTAAATCACAGTGCTTATATAATGCTAAACTGTGAATCTAGACTGAGGTGGAAGGGACAGGCCACTTCTATGTGACACCTTGGAATTCGCAATGGCTTATCGCCCTGCACCTGAGGTCAATGCAACCATAATGGGATCCTGTTCTGTTTCACCTGACTCAGTTTTTTCACCGGTCCTAGATCTAAGCATCCAAATACTTTTGACCGTATTATAATATCTTACCTGTTTGAAGCAGGCTTCCACCATGTTTGGAGGGAACATATTTCTGGGGAAAAAAAGAGATAAGGTTTGGTCAATAAAAATTCAATTAATAAAAAAAAGTATGGAACAACTTCCGAGATGTAGAGCTCCACCTGTATGATCCTGGTATCTTAAACTACCCCTATAGGACCAGACAAGTGATCTAAAAGATCTATTCTTAACCCCTACATGACTGAGGCCTTTTTTTCATTTTTTGCACCCATGTTATATTCCACATTTTAGGCCTGAAAATGACTTAAAAGCCCCAAACATTATATATTTTCTGAATGCCAAGACCCTATAGAATAAAATGGTGGTAGTTGCAAATGTTTATGTTGCGCAATATTAGCGCAACTCCTGATTAAACCCCAACATTTAGTGAAAAATGTAATTAAAAGCCCCAAAACACAGCAAAATACCAATTTTTTTAATGAAATATAAAAGATGAGGTTACAACGAGTAAAACGATACCCAACATGTGTAGCGCGTTCGTCGTTTTCATACGTAGGCACACCCGACGCGTGTTTACGTGGCAACGCGCATGCTCACGGGGGCGGGGGACTTTTACATTTTTTTTTAATATTATTAGATTTATTTTATTTAATTTGAATTTAAAAAACTTTTTTTTTTTAACTTTACTTTGACTGCTATCACATGGGGGGGCTTACGAGCCCCCCCATGTGAACATATCAGATGATGAAATCCAAATTGACCATACGTTTATTGGTATCATCTAAAAAGCCGATGATATAAAACACAAGAATCCCGCAGTATTTTCTATCATATCATAGCAGGTAAACAGTGACTGCTCAGTTCATCAATGACTGCAAGGCTCAGATGATCCCATTCAGAATACAAATGCAGACTCTTTGGGGCCAATTTACTAAAGGAGATTAGGCTGTTCACCTAGCAAAAGGAATTTTCACTTAGCTTGGTGAATGTGAAGCTCTGCTGACTTCATTCATCCAATCATGTCTAAACAAAAATCCTGTTTTTTAAAATTTTCCTTGTATGTGATTGGATATTCTTTGGAAAATGAATGTTCCCCACATTCACCAAGGTAAGAGAAAATTCCCTTTTAAAGTGAAAATTCACTTTGCAAGTTGAACATACAAGAGCAAATACTTATCTGAGCCTAATAGGACAGCACAGTGGCGCAGCGGTTAGCACTTCTGCCTTGCAGTACTGGGGGGCCCTGGTTTGAATCCTGACCAGGTCACTATCTGCAAGGAGTTTCCATGTTCTCCCTGTGCGTGTGTGGGTTTCTTCCCATACTCCTGGTCCTCCTATGTATGCATCTGAGATAGGGACCTTAGACCTTAGATTGTAAGTGCTTTGAGGGCAGGGACTGATGTGAATGTGCACTGTGTAATTTGTCGGTGCAATATAAATACTAATAATAGGCTGTTCACGTTGCCAGGAAATATTCCTGTAGCTTAGTAACTGTGGTAAAAATGAGCTTTGCAAATAATACCCAGTCACATGTCAGGAAAAAAGGAAAACATTATCGGGTCTATTCACTAAGCTGCTGTAGGCAGCCGAGTGAATAAACGACGTGAAGTGAGCCAAAGGCTCTTCGGCTATTCACTTCAGGCTTGTACGGCTGATTTCATCGACTTGCTTCGTGCGGCTTCGGGTCGGCCAAACATGCTCAGCATGTTCGGCCGACCAGAAATGCAGAAGGAGTTTTGACTCTGGAAGGAGTTTAACATCTGGATCGGCTAAGCCGAACCTCCGGCAGGGTACTCGCTGCTGTTCGGCCTGTTCTCATAGGTGCCAAACAGTAGTGAGTGACTTGCACTGATCTGTCTGTGCAAGTGGCCGAAGCCAGCCGTGAGATGACGGCTGGCTCCGCCCAGCCGCCAATAGCAGGCTGTCGGCCGGCCAATATATATTTATATACATATACACATACTGTATAGACACACCACATTGCTGTACCCTTATTATAATATACAGCCATCTGTTTCCAGATACCGAAGAGACAGACAAATGTGAAACTATACCACCTTGGTAGCAACCAATTCTACCAATGATTTCTGCTAGTTTTTTTCTTGGATACAATGGGGTCTAGGTTTACTAGCCACCAACTTGTACCCTATTAATTATCCATGTTGTATATCCTCTATCTCCCTATTAATGGTACCTATTAATGGTAGACCTGCTTTCAATTACTCACGTAGACCCTTCAAAACAGTTTACTTTTACATGAACTAGTTCTGCTTCTCTCTTAAGACCAGGAGCTTCAAGGGTCAGAACCTAAGCCAGGGCTCCCATGCTGCACCCTGTTCTCTGCGCGGGGACATCTGAAATTCAACCCCATCTATCTGCAGACACAGACTGGCCTTTACCTTGGGATCTTACAGCTCAGTCCAAGAGGTCTTCCATGCCCCTCCACCAGCACTCATTTCACTTTCCAGTTCACAGGTGCTTTTGATAGCTTTGCTGGAAACAATAAAGGCTCAGACATCTGAACCATTTGAAACTTTACTGAAGAATTCTCATATGCAGAACATAACAACATAATGACCAGCAGATCCGGTACACAACTTTGACAATAAACTCTTGGTTGGTACACTTGTTTTGCTTAACAGTCTTTCTCCACAGGTGTAGCTTAAGCTTCCTTGCCTTCCATGCTTCTCGTGGAAAAGGAAGAGTCTCCACAAACTCACGTGGCTTTTCTTGTTTGCTCTCTCTTTATAACAAAGGGGATCCTTCCTCCTCAGCTGTCACCACCATATGATGCCCACACCTCAGCATCAGGAGCCCTTTTTTGTAATGTGGGGACATTTTCCACCAATCGTAGACCAGAAATTCTGTTACCATACTACACTGGAAAACTACGGTCAAAAAAACCCCTGTTACATCACTTTATATGTTGCAAAGAATATGGCATTCCCTGCAATGTCTTTAAGCTTCCTGGAATGTGTTTTTTATTGCAACACTGGAACCAATCATATAATTAAAATAAAAGCAGAACGTCCACTCACTGGTAGCATACCTTATTAAATCTAAAAAGGCATCAGCGGCTGTGACTGGCTCAATCTTCCCCTCTCGGTGCATCTTCTCCTTGCTGCCCTTACCAGGGTGGACAATGATGACAATGATGATTCCGATGAACACAGCAATCACTGTGGTTGTCGTATAATAGACTACGGCTCTTAGTCCCATCTTCCCTGAAGCTTTACCGTCCAGCGCCGCCATACCTAAAAGAAAAAGTTCCAGCTGTTAGTTTTTCCATTGTAGGCTAAATGTGAAAGAAAAATTAGTAAAGCTAGTTTCCTGGTCGTCAAGCTGATGCTAACATTTCAATGCTTTTTGAGGTATAGACCTAGAACAAGTATAAAGATAAGAAAACCTGACACTGCAAGATAAGAAAACCTGACACTGCCTTAGAGCATGCTTGTTCTGAGTCTGTGACTTAAAGTAGACAGACATAGCCAGACATAAAGTGGAAACCAGCAATTTAGAAAATATGTCGACATTGGCACCATATATACTTTTCTCATGAAAGGTAGACTTTAAAGAAGTTGTAAAGTCCCAGCATATCCTCTCCTGTTATAACATCAGCATTGTAATAGGAATACTTACTAGAGTCAAGAATCAAAGCATACTTGAAAAAAATTCTTATGTACAGCGTACCGTTTCCCATCTGCCCATCACTTTCAACACATTCCCAGTGTGCCTTGCATCATTTTCCCTGCTGCTTGATGGGATGCAATCTTAATCTCTCAAGACTACATAGCCCATCATGCATTGCTTCCAGCAAGCAATGATAATGTTACATTGAGGGAAGTTCAGAAGTTGAGTTGTAATTCAGATGGCAAACCTATAGTGGTGACACTATATGCAGCCCTGTGCATATTCACAGGGCTGCATGAGATTATGTTAGTGCATGGAGGAAATACGAAGAAAAGCCTGTCCTCTGCCAGCATGCTGCAGAAAAGTACCCCTGTGCTCTGTTTGGAAGCAGTGGACCCTCTGTAGAGAAACCTATAGCTCTGCAATCAGTAAAGCTCATGCTCCCTGCTGATTTGAGAGCTGTAGCTCTGATAGCTGGTCTTCAAAAAAAGCTGTAGTTACTAATTGCAAAGTGGCTTAGATCTCTATTCAAAGTTTTGTCTCAGTTCCTAAAGGAAGTCAACTAGTAACCAAATTAGTTTATATCTCAAGACAGGCACCCAGTATAATTTGTCTGTGCCCACCCTGCTTTAAGATCACTGAGAGTCAATTGGAGGCATGCTGTCTGTGCCCACCCCCACCACTACATCATGGCTACTGACACATAAAACATTGGATAGAAAACACCTATAATTTATAGCAGCTGACCATTTTTGTCCCTGATAAACTTGTTGGGAGAAGGAGACGTCACATATAGATCCTAATATTTGTAATTTTTGCACATGTTGGTGCCATAGGGCACACAATGCACATTTGTTTCTGCAATAAGTTTGGAAAATGTATTAGAGTTATGTGTTCCGTGCGGATGCAAACGGTGCTCAGTGGAGCCCTTCTTTACCACATGAGAACCTTTAACTATGGAATTTGCACTATTATTAAGTGGAAAACATTCTGTTCAGGCTCGCTTCCCTCACTCTTTGTTCCGAGCTAATTTAGAGTGAAACTGGATTTTTCTTTTGCATCTCATGCCATCCACAGAAGAGCTTGTTATGCCTTTCTATCGGCTCAGTGTGACTATTTTACACTCAAAAAAAAAAAAAAGAGCCAGGGAGCTGGGAGAAAAAGAGGGGATTGAGGGATATTTTTCTTGTTTGCAAGTTCTGTTTATTCCTCACGTCATTCCTTTCACTCTTTGAGCTAGTGTGTGTGAGTTGCAGAGGGACAAAATCTCCTGGACTCCTCTTGGAGTTGCCGTGGCAACAAGAGAGGCATCCTTGTTTGTGGTGCCCATTGGCGCTGCAAGTTTCCCAGGGCCCGCCAGAGACGAGAACGGGAGGAGGAGGCCAGCGGAGAATGGCGATGAATACACTATGAGGGATGTGGGAGAGAGAGCTTGCCCAGGGATTAAAGGAGAACATACATCTCCTCCAAACAATGGAAGCTTTTGCTAGGGGCCTGTGAAAGAGAAAGCAGCACAAAGGCCCCCATGACACGTGAAGGATACAGAACTAACTTTATCGCTCCTCCATCAAGTGTCCATGTCAGGTCTCTTTCAAAACCAACACTGCTTACTACCTCGTTTAACTCAACGCATCTGGTTCGAACAGTACTGGGCAGTCATTGCAAATGCACAACTGTACCGGCTCTGTGTCATGATATAAACACTGCTTTAATCAAATACAGTCTATGCAACATCCTTGAAGTGTAAATTAAAAGGGGTTTCCAGAATTGCTTAAATTCCTGTTCATATCTTTCATCTCCTAGGGAAAACAAGGAGCCCTCAGTCCTACTACTGCCCCTTTCCACGTATTACTTCTTCTCCATTGATTTCACTGTTAGGGCAATCTGATATATAAGAGGTTTTATAAGTTCTATTTAACGAGTCATTTCATGTTTTAGTAAGTATTCAGCCATAAACGCAATATAGCTACACTCATGGGGTACATTCATAAAAGTTCCACCCAGCGTATAGCCAAGTGGATGCAGTTTGTACAGCACTTGCGCCCCTAGATGGCGCTGACATGTATAGGAAGTTCATTTTTTATAAAGGAACCCCTCAGTGATGATAGCTGGTCTTCAAAAAAAGCTGTAGTTACTAATTGCAAAGTGGCTTAGATCTCTATTCAAAGTTTTGTCTCAGTTCCTAAAGGAAGTCAACTAGTAACCAAATTAGTTTATATCTCAAGACAGGCACCCAGTATAATTTGTCTGTGCCCACCCTGCTTTAAGATCACTGAGAGTCAATTGGAGGCATGCTGTCTGTGCCCACCCCCACCACTACATCATGGCTACTGACACATAAAACATTGGATAGAAAACACCTATAATTTATAGCAGCTGACCATTTTTGTCCCTGATAAACTTGTTGGGAGAAGGAGACGTCACATATAGATCCTAATATTTGTAATTTTTGCACATGTTGGTGCCATAGGGCACACAATGCACATTTGTTTCTGCAATAAGTTTGGAAAATGTATTAGAGTTATGTGTTCCGTGCGGATGCAAACGGTGCTCAGTGGAGCCCTTCTTTACCACATGAGAACCTTTAACTATGGAATTTGCACTATTATTAAGTGGAAAACATTCTGTTCAGGCTCGCTTCCCTCACTCTTTGTTCCGAGCTAATTTAGAGTGAAACTGGATTTTTCTTTTGCATCTCATGCCATCCACAGAAGAGCTTGTTATGCCTTTCTATCGGCTCAGTGTGACTATTTTACACTCACT